GTACCTGAATCGGATTCAGTGTCTTTTCCCCCGAATTTCTAAATTTCCGAACTCTAACTTCCTGCATTCTTCACTTCACTCAACTTCAGGGGGAACCCCACCATGTTAAAACATCAGCTTCCTGCACAAACATCACTCAACCCCTTCCTCCTAACCCTCATCGAGGGGTGCAGGTCTGTGACCTCTCCTCCTGGTATTCAGCTTTGCAGGAACTGTTCCAGGGCCCACTTTTCCTCACCCCATCTCTTCATATACACCCTCCGGTAACCAGCTTGTTTTTCACCACCATCTCGTGCCTTGTCTTATGTTTTCAGCTTGCGTTTCTGCCGGTGACCATGGCCCGGCCTTGGGTGGGCAAGCCCTTGCCTTTTTCAGGCCTTACAGCTATCTGAAACAACACACGGAGATCTGGAAACTCCTCAGCAAGGTTTGCCCTTGCAGTGCAGAAGAGGCCCACCTGAACGGTGACCCCACCGCAACAGTCTCTGGAAATAAAGAAGCAACATCTGCTGAGTTCCCTGGAGATAGAAGGCACTGAACAAGGAATCGGTAGGGCACGTTTTGCCTTTCCAGCAAAAACTCCTCTGCAGCCTGGCTGGACCATCCAGGCCCCTTTATTCCTGGTCCAGCCTGGGCAGCCAGCCATGCTAGGAAATGGGGCACTCTCCCTCCCTCCCCACAGAGAAGCCACAGCACTGGCGCCTTCAGCTTCCCTTGCCCTGGATGACAAAGCAATTTTCAAGACCCAGCCCACTCCTGGGCCCAGCAGAGTGCTGAGTCACAGTGGGACAGCAGTTCTGCACAACCGCTCTTCTTCCAGATGAGCCAGATCCCGCCATCAGTCTCTCCTCTGGCCTACGGCCCCTCCCGCCGCTCCTGACCCTGGGAGGCAGCCTTCTGGGAGGACAGCCAAACTCCCGCCTCCTGGAAGTCACGAGGCAGAGCCAGGGCTGGAGGCGAGGGAGGCCCAGTGCTAGTCAACAAAGGTCCAAAGAGCAGCCCAAGACTTCAGAAGAATCTAGAAGCATGCAGATCGCAGTTCTGATACCCCAAGATCCAGAAGGTGAGGAACTGTTCTAAGAAAACACACATACAAGATTTTCCCTTTCATTCCTCCCAGCTGGCCTCCCCGTGACCGGTTATAGCGCACACTGCCCCGCAGTTTGGCCCTGATGGTCACCGTGGCTGCTTGTGTTTAACAAGCACAGAGCCAATATTGATTCATGAAACTTGACTTTCAGCAACAGACCAACTTCCTTCTGGTGGGTCCAACTTCATGCTGGCTCTGCCCATCTGGGTGTCCTAGAGACCCTGAAACTCAGCCCATCCAGTCCAAAGCCAGCTGGCCTTCTCCCCGGGGTCTCCCCAAACTGCACTTCCCCCTCTGAGCCTGTTCTCAGGGAGTGGCAGCAGCCCCCCAGCTGTCCAGGCCAGGAAGCCAGGACCACAGCCCATCCCCGCCCTGCACACATAATGGGCCACCTCATCCAGTCTGTTCTGTCTTCTCTCTCTTCTCTGCCCAGGGAGGAGGGCCGTTGCCTCATCTGACAGGCAGCCATCCTCCACATGCAAGCAAGCACCCACTTGTTCGTTCGACAAACACCCAGTCACCAGCACCCTGCAAAATGCTGGGAGCACAAAATGCCTGCTATCTAGAAGCTTATGGGATACAGTAGAGGGGCCGGCAAAAAGGCCCTCCAAGCCCAGTGTGATTTACAGCCACATAATTGTGAACAAGATCACGTGGCGCGGTGGCTGATCGTCACCACTGAACGTGTCCTTCCTGTTTTAAGTATGTTCGGCTCAGTTTTTCTTTTTTAAGTCAGCTTTTTTGGCTTTTGAGAGCCTCAGAAGACGCCCCCCACACTGATCCTAAAAGAGATCCTTACGTTCCTTAGTAACCCCGCAGGCCTCCCCCAGCCCTGCTCTGGGGCTGAGGTTCCTCTGCTCTTCCCTTCAGGGCCAGCTGACCTGGGAGGAGGAGCTGGTGTCACCTTGACCTGGGAGGGGACGCTGGAGGGAGCCGCTCCTGCTCACCCCTAGTCTCCACTTCTCCACCTTCCCAGGGCCAGCACCCCCCACTCTGGTGTGCTGGCTCCCTCCTCAGCATGGGCTTGCTCCACGGGCTCTGGCCACCTCCCTGCTGAAGCGCTCACGACTACAAAAAGCAGCTGCCACCATCTTGAACTGGCAGTGAACCTCACTTTCTAAATATATACAGAAAGAGACAGCAATCACACCCCAATCGGCTTCGGGCATCAGGGCAGCTCCCCTGCGACTCCACCATTGCAATTAGGCGGTTTTCACTCTGCCTGCATTACAACCAGCCAAGAGCACAGCCACTGGCTCGCGCTCGCTCTCTCTCCCTCCCATCTTTCTCTGCCTCCCTCCTACCCTCCTCAGTCTCTGTCCTCCAACCCCCTTGCTCCCTCCTTTTCTGGCTCTCTCTGCAGTGCCTTCCGGGGTCTGTGTCTACCTCTAGCTCTGCATGTCTGAGCGTCTCTCTCCTCCAGCTGCTCCCTACCCTTATTAAGGCTCACATTTTCAGTCCTCCTGGAACCCTTCACTAGGGACAGCCATTTTCATCCACAAGAGTAGCCGTTGTATTGATGTCATTTGTTGAGCACATTCTTTCTCCCTAATTTGAAATGCCATGTTAGCGTCTACTGAGCTCCCCTTTGCAGGTAGGTAGGACTGTTCTGTTGCACGGGCAGTGACTACTGCTTTTGGTATTTTATAGTAACTTTTTTTATATCAAGGAGGACAAATCTACTCTTATTAATCCTTAATTCCCCCCAAATGCTTATAAGCTGCTCTACATGCTTATGCTTCCAAATGAACATTAAAATCATGGTCAAATTGCCCCCTGAAATGTTAAGTGCTACAAAAATTGCGCTGAATTTATATTTATTTGGGGAACATTGAGATCTTGAGAAAACTGAGGCTGGCCACCTAGAAATGGTGTTTCTTCCTTTATGCGTGCTTTCTTCCCTGCCCTGCAGTAAACGTGTAACAATTTCTACACTTTCTTCACGTTTTTCTAGTTAACTTTACTCCTGAGGACTTGAAGCTTTTGTTGTCAACTTGAATAAAAACCACCTTTTTCTTTCATTCCATTTTCTAACAAATTACTATTTTTAAGGAAAGCTTTGCATCCGGTGACTCCTGGTAATGTTCTAATAGTTTTTCTGTTGATTCAGTGTAAGGTTTCTAAAAGCAAAACTAAAGTGGCATCTCCCTGGCTAGAGATTCCATAGCGTTTCCATGTCATCCAGGGCACAGAACTCTTCCTGGCCTTGCACCTTTTCTACCCACCTAGCGCTCTCCAAGGGGGACGCTACTTTCAGGCCAACACATGTTCTCAAGGTGTCTTGCACAAGCTGTGTTTCCACACCAGCGCACCTTTGCACTGGCTGGTTCCCTCTGCTTGGAATCCCACCCCCCACCCCCCTCCTCCACTTCAGCTTCCCGTTAACTTTTTCTTCCAATTTAGCTCAAGGTCATTTTCTAAGGGAGGTCTCCCCTGACTTCCTACCCCAGACTGGGTGAGGCACCCCTTGGATGTACTCTCTCTGCATCATTCTGCCTTCTTTATTGTAGCTCTAGCCTCACTCACATTTCTTCCTGCAAGTAACATATGCTCCTTTAGTAATGAACACAGGACACTCAAGAAAGAGAACGCACTCTAAGTCCATGGACAACTAATGTTAATGTTTGAGTAGAGTTCCTTTCATTTTTAAGCATCTTGGATAGGTCTCCCCTATGTGTCACTCTGTTTCACTCGGACCTGGCTGAGGACAGTGAACCTGGAAGCCAGCAGGCAGGGGTACAAGGGCGCTGGCTTAGCCCTAGTTCTGCCCTCCACAAATTCTCTCCCACTCAGTGCCTGGGACACAACTACAGGCCACACACAGTGACCCTGCCCTTCCAGGGCCCTAAAGCCTGCCCTGCATTCAGCCCACCAGCTTCTGCCCAGGGCCCACCCCGGAAGGCGGCTCCCCACACGGAGCTTCTACGCTGACGAGGCTCCTGAGACTCGGGCAGATGAGCGAGGCCATTTCAAAATGGCTTCGCATCCCCATGTCCAGATCCAAGCTGCTTCTCCTTTCTTTCCTGACCATCCCCGCTCCCTCTGGGCTTCACGCGCCACCTGCTACCTGCCACAGGGATTTTCTCAGGAGCCACCCCACGACTCCCGGAGGGGAAGGTGGTCTCCGCGTCTACAGGAATCCCTGCCGCCCAGTCTCCGGTCGTGGCAACTGCACCCGGCGCCATATTTGCTCCCAGCAGCGAGCTGGGGGCGGACTCCCGGGGCCACCCGCCTCCATGCTGCTCCCCCTGAGGAAGGGAGGGCAGCCCAGGCGCCCTCTGACTCATGCGGCCTCCTGGGCCCACGTTTCCACCTAATTGCCAACTTGCAGCACCTGGGGTGTGGTCATCCCCTCGGGGTGCAGTAACTGTTGCTCTAAGCTCTGACTTTTAGGGTGCCCTGGGCCAGGAGCCTCGGGGTGTCCGCTGGGGTTCTGAGAGCACGTCCACGCCCCCGCAGGGCGCCACGGGAATGGGGGCTCCGAAAGGGGCGTCCCACGCGCCCCAGGTCCTCCTACCAACCCCACCGAAGGCCACAGAGAGCAGAGACGCCCCCATCTGCTACGGGGACGCTCGGCCCGGCCCCCCCGACCACGCTGACCCCACGAGCCCCAGCGCTCCCAGGGGGGCCCTGCTCCTCCCCCCCCGCCACTCCCCACCGCCCCCGCCGCCCCGCCTCCACGCGGGGGGCGGGGCCGAGCGCGCACCGGAAGGGGCGGGGCCGACCGCCGGGCCGGCGGCGCGATTGGCCGGGGCGGGCCTGACGCCGGCCGCCGCTATAAGAGCGGGCGCGCGCCGCCTGCGCCACAGCCTTCGCGGAGAGTCGCCGCGGTTTCCTGCTTCAACAGTGCTTGGACGGAACCCGGCGCTCGTCCCCCCCGCCGCCCGGCCGCCGCCGCCCGCTGCTCCCGCCCACAGCGCCGTCCGATCGCCCCCAGCTCGCCGCCGCCATGACGACCGCGTCCACCTCGCAGGTGCGCCAGAACTACCACCAGGACTCGGAGGCCGCCATCAACCGCCAGATCAACCTGGAGCTCTACGCCTCCTACGTCTACCTGTCCATGGTGAGCGCCGTTGGGCCCGCCGGGGCCGGGGCGGGGCGGGCGCGGGGGCCGGGGGCGGGGCGGGCGCGGGGCGGGCCGGGGGTGTAGCCACCCGCCGCGCGCCCGCCTCCGTGCGCCCTTCTGGAAAATGGAGGCGCTTCGAGGTCTCCCAGGACTTTGCTTGCGCAGACATTCTGGGCAGCTCGCCCTTCCCGATCGCCCCCTAGAAAGGCCGCCTCCTAGGCGAGGGCCGCCCCTCCGCTCCCCTTTCTGTTGAGCGAGGTCCTGACCCCCCGAAACCCCGGGTGGCAGCGCTTGGAACCTGGACAGCCCTGCAGTTGGGAAGGCGGATCTGAGCGTCTCCATCTCTGCGCCCGACCACGTGACCCGAGGCCCTCCGTTTGCCGGGGAACGGGAGTCCCGCAGTCCAACTCCCAGCCCTCTGAAAGTGGCAGAGCCCGCTGGGTAGTGGTGTCGAATAGCGACCTTGGGGGATGGTGCCGAGTGGCTTATCTGCTGTGGGCCGACCACTCCGGGATGGCTGACTCCACCCTCGGCTCTGCTTATCTCTTTGAAGGCCCACTTGAATTGAAGCCTATCTAGAAATCTCCCCTTCTGCTGTCCCAGAGTTGTCTTAATCGCCTGTCTTTGCCCCTGAGTATTTATCTTGTGTCTACTCCTAAGGGCTGTGGCCCTCTAGTTGAACCCTTAGTTCTTGGATAAAGTCCACTAACTGTTATGGGACAAAGAATTTTCCCATGCAGTATCAGTAGAATCAGGTTAAAAGGTGCAGTGGGAGTATTAGTCTCGTGATTGAATAGATTATCCAAGAATAGATTAATTTGAACAGTCCTGAATTTCCATGGCTGCCATTCCATCTTGGAAACACTTGCAGGCATCTAGTGTCTAACAACGTGGTCAGATGTTTGTTTCTACTGTTTACATCAGTCAGCATTGCCCACAGTTGTCCCCTTGCCTAATGGGTCCATTTTAGAAATCCAGCAGTCTGCTGGAAACTGGCAAGCCCATTTGCTCTTTAGAGCTCGTGTTTTAATGCAGGTTCATCTGGGAAGAAGAGCAGAAATACGCCAGCAACCTCTCTTTAGAGTATCAGATTTGGCACTGGACATACGTACTCTCCCTCTGCGCCAGTACAGATCCTTAAGACATTCTGTGCAGGAGGCAATTCTCATGGAATTTTTTTGGTTTCTTATAAAGTTCAAAGGTCCAAGTTTTATTTTTGTAGTTTAGCGTAGCGACTAATTACTGTTGGTTCATTCCAGAAATAATGTGCCCTTAGACACCTATCGTGTCTTGCCTGCCTTTGGTTCTCCCTAACATAATAACATGTTCATGTTCCACTTTCAGTCTTACTACTTTGACCGTGATGATGTGGCTTTGAAGAATTTTGCCAAATATTTTCTTCACCAATCTCATGAGGAGAGGGAACATGCTGAGAAACTGATGAAGCTGCAGAACCAACGAGGTGGCCGCATCTTCCTTCAGGACATCAAGGTGAACAAAAGATGCTAGAGCTGTCATGCTGTGTGAGCTAGCCACCAGTTCTCAGGAACCCGAAATCATACAGACTAGCGGATGCCCTTATAAAATGAGGATATGTCCAGGTTTTGCCTTTTGTGCTTTTTTAGGCCAACCATCTAAGCTAAAGTAGGCAGACAGTAATGGGCAAGGATGCTCCGTCAGAAACTTGTCGGGAAAACTGGGCGTCCCCGCTGCGGAAGCATAGTGGTTACTTGTTAGTGCTGGCTGGTTGCTGTGGGTTAGGGCAGAGACTGCAGGTGCATTGCTCAAACCTCTCTCGTTCAGAAACCCGACCGCGATGACTGGGAGAACGGGCTGAATGCAATGGAGTGCGCCTTACACTTGGAAAAGAGCGTGAATCAGTCACTACTGGAGCTGCACAAACTGGCTACTGACAAAAACGACCCCCATGTGAGTATGGACAGCAGGGAGGTGGGTGGAGATAGAGCTATGCCTTCGGGATAGGGATCGCATATCTATAACTTTCTTCCCCTTTCTGTTTTCTAGTTGTGTGACTTCCTGGAGACTCATTACCTGGATGAGCAGGTGAAATCCATCAAAGAACTGGGTGACCATGTAACCAACTTGCGCAAGATGGGGGCCCCCGAATCTGGCATGGCCGAGTATCTCTTTGACAAGCATACCCTGGGAGACAGTGACAAGAGCTAAGCTAAGCCTTAGGCTGGCTACTCATAGCCAGGGGGTGACTTTCCTGGTCACCAAGGCTGTGCATGCATGTTGGGGTTACCTTTACCTTTTCTATAAGTTGTACCAAAACATCTACGTATAGCTTTCATTTGTACCATTCCTTCAAATAAAGCAATTTGGTACCCGTTGTTTTTTTGCAGTCTTGGTAGAAATACATCTCTGCCATCTTTTTGCTACATTTTTAGGTTCCACAGTTAAACTTGTCAAAATGGGAAACTCCTAGGACGATCTGTATTTATTAATAAACTAGTTTGGGGAAAATACCAAGGCTCTCGGCTATCACAGTCACACAGGACTAACGGACTGCTGGGTCTGTGTAGGTGTTCTGGATACATGCTTCAGTGCTTCCTTGCTAGCTTGCACAGTGTTTATGTATGACAGGCATTTTACAGGCTTCAGTAGTCCTGAAAGTACTGACGTTCATTACCCGTTCAGCTAACCATTTCATTCACGCTGTCAGTCTTCAGCACACAGCTTCAGGGTCGTGACTCACGGCACCCCACGTGGTGCAGGAAGGGCCCGGCCAGTGAAGCGTCCCCCTTGACCAGAGGCTAGGACGCGGCATCATCCCTGTGGAGAGTTTGGTCAAGTGTATGACGTGAGAGTAGGAACTGCATTTCAGTCTAAAGTACTGGCAGCAGGAAGGCAGCACACTTGAAATAAAAACCAGTGAGGCAGTGAACAGAGACTGCGGGACCGCCCGTGTCCTCCCTGGCTGTGCTAAGGTGTTTTCTTAGACAAGCTTGGAGGTGGTTGGTTCTTGTCAAGACGGGTTGGAACCCTTTTAGTAGTGAATCACAGGGCCGTGGCTTCTGAGAATCTAGAAATAGGAAGTTGACACTCCGGCTCCCTGCACGTGACGAGGGGTGGGGTAGGGTAAACAACTGGGTGGGTGTCCAGAACTGGAAGAAAGGGAAACTTACGGTTTGCTACAGCTTTGGGGAGGCCCCTAAATAAACACAAAAAACAGTTGAGTTCAGAAATCTTGGAGGGGGCTCCCAAAGTAATAAGATCCCCCCCAAGCCCTGGCTGGCCTCAACATCAGTCAGTTCCCAAGGTCCAGGCAGCCTCCCACAGTTCAGGCCTGCCGCGCTGGGTGATGATGAGGAAGTGCACAGATGCACTAAGTTGCAGCCCAGAGCCCCCACTTCTGTCAGGATTTTCTGCCCTTGCACAAAGTGAGCTGCACCCAGTGCTGACACCCCAGTTAGGTCTGGCCTTAGCGGCCCTTCCAGTGTCATCCCTGTTTGTGCAACCTCAGCTTCCTTCACTGGGTCCCTGGGAACTCTTCCTGGTGATGATGGCAGGTTGTCAGTGGAATGAACCTGGCACCCAGTTTGTCTCCAGGGCCCCTGCCTAAGTGGCCAGGTGTGTTCCCCGAGCCAGTGTGGGATACACACACAGGCTGCTCTGGCAGTGACAGCCACTGGAGATGGAAGCACAGCAGGCTCAGGTCTAGGGGGGCTGGGAAGGCCTCCCCCAGGGAGGTGCAGTGATCCCTGTGTGGGTAGAGGACAGACGTGGTTTCCAAGGTCCAAGGGGGATCTCCAGGCCCATCGAGTACAGTGTGTGTGTTGCTTGTAGATTGTTCCAAATGTGATTCTATGAGATGAAGTTTCGGCGCCTCTGACGTGTTGGTCAGGTTAAACTCCACAGTTTTCCTTTCATGAGAATACAATTCTGGGTGCTCCATGGAGGCCCCAACACTCTCTGGGAGCAACGCAAAACTGTTCTTGTTCCCAGTAGCCACAGGCTGTCCTCTCTGGTCTGGGACAGCACCCTCTATGCCTGGCACCCCGTGAAGCCTTGAGGGTGCTGGCTCTTCAGGTGGGAACAGAGGGCTGGGGCTGAGGGGTGTCTGCCGGGTGCTGGGGTACCTTGACTTCCCAGAGTGCGGCAGTCTGGAAGCCATCCTGCCCCTTCATTTTCCAGGCCTGGCTGTCTCCCTGGCCCCAAGCCTTCTGTCCAGCCCTCAGAGGGTGGGCATGCTGGCCCTCACCAAGGATGTCTTTCTTGGGCCCAAGGAGTTTGGTCTTGGAGTTTGTCCTGCGGGGTTGGTAGTTGTGGGAGTGCAGCTCTAGAAAGCGGCCGACGATGCTGGTGTGAGGGTGCTCCTGTTCCGGCTGAAACTCCATATCTCTCTTGTGCATACTGGAAAGAAGTGGGGGACTCAGAGTTGCGGGGTGGAAAAGGCCCGACTTGACTTCACCCTTACACCCTTCCCCTTCTCCCTCCCTCTGGTCCAAGGCCAAGAACACACTGTCTTCCTCACAGGGCCCCAACTCACCTCTTTCCTGACTCATCCTGAACCTCCCCATGACCCCCCTCTTGGATGGGGCCCAGCTCACCTCACTGTTCTGTGGCTCCTCCTTGCCCATATGAACATGCAAACTTCCTAGCCTGGCATTTTAAGACTCCCTCTCCAGCACCCACATCTTTAACACGCCCACTCCTGGCAATCTGAACTCCCCAGGAGTGATCAGGGCAAGTCGGGTGTATGGTTCCCACTGGAAAGCAGCATCCACAAGAAGAGAAAGCCAGGGCCTCCCTGGTGGTGCAAGAGGCTAAGACGCAGCTCTATGAAGCCTTCCACAGCTGCTGCAGCACGAGTTCCATCCCCACGTGGCGGGGCAGACCTCTCCTGACGTCTCGCTGCTCCCCTCAGCAGTGTATTTCACTCAGTCTGCCTGTTCTGCTCCTCACTCTGTCTCTGGTGAATCCTCTCACCCCCACACATCTGGCCTGTGCCCCAGCTCTTGTATGCATAAATAAATAAATCTTTAAAAAAAGAAAGCCCACCTGCCCCAGAACGTGGTCACCCCTTGCCCATGTGCAGACTGTCCCCAAGCTTAGAGGCCCAGCTGGAGGCCACCTCCAGAACGCTGTGGGGACCTCTGCCCTGACTGCGGCCCGTTCCCGGGCATCCAGTACTCTGGACCAGAGTTTAGGCCTCGGCGCGGGCTCCCTCACTAAACTGTGTTCCTCAGAAGCCAGGGCATGCATTACTCTTCTCTGTCCACATGCCCCACCCGCCCTTGCGCTGCATGGGGGCCATGTAGACCAGCTCCACACACTCTATGGGCCAGGCAGAACCAAAGGCACCTCCAGAAAAGCTTCTGGCCTGAGCAAGCCTCCATCCTTCATTTGCTCACTTTTCCAAAGCCTCGCACGCCAGCAGGAAGTCCAGCTGATGCTAACTATAGCTAATTGACTAATTTTTCGCAGAGGTGAGAGAAAACCATGCTTAATGCTATAGAAGAAAACCTGGATGGCATGACCTGGCTCACACCAAACCTTCTCCAAAGTCCTCTCCATCCAGCATCCTGGGGAGAGAGGGTGTCTGGACAGCCCTGTAGCCCACGCTAGTCGAATCAGGGGAGCCGGATCCATGAAAGTTTGGAGGGTTTGGCTGCTGTGGGTGACCAGAAACTCTCTCTGTAGCACAAAGTCCACTCAGAAGGCACCTGAGATGACCAGCCTCCTGGTGGGCATGCTTGCTGCCCTCCGCCATCGCAGGGATCCCCACTTCCACTACTCATCCAAACACTCTGGCTCATCAGAAAACAGTTCTGGACCAGAATCAGGAGCCAGCTCGACACCCGGTCAGGGACGGCCACTGACTAGATCCCTTCTCTTCTGGGGCTCAGTTTCCAGCCCTGAAAACATGGTGGTTCCTGGAAGCATGAGAGGTTTAGGTGAAGAGCCCTGGTGGCTGCAGGAGTCCTTAAGCAGTACAAGGCCAGGGTCAAGGGCCTTGTCAAGGTGTGGAGGTCAAGGGGTGGAGGTTCATACCTTGCTAGCTCTGTGACCTTGGACTAGGGGACTTACTTCACTTTCCCAGACCTGCAATTAGTCATCTGGAAACTGGACATCACAAAATAGGGCTACTGAGAGAGTAGAAACAGTTATTTATTTTATAAAGTTCTTAGTATACTGCCCGGCACATAGTAAGCCCGCAGTATTAACTAGTGCTACCTGGAGTTCTTTGGCAGCTCCTTGCACGTGGGGTTTTCTACCCACCAAAGGAGTTCCCTGGCACGGCCCACCTGATGTTGAAAGTGGAGCCAAAAAAGAAGGATCTTCGAGACTGGGCGGAAGCAGCTGTGTAGCGGGGGTGTGATTCTAGCTCATTCCAGTACATATCCCGCTCCATGGGGGGCAGGTCCTGGTGCATCTCATCCACAGCTGAGAGAGACACCTGGTCACTAGGTGACCAGGCAGGACCATGAACTTGCCTGAGGATTCGGAAAGGTCAGTTCTCTCCCTCTGAAGTGGAGAAACTGATGCCTACTTGCAGCCTCAAAAACTGGGCGAGGGCCTCCCCTGGTGGCGCAGCAGTTGAGTGCTGGGTTGTGAGGCTGCCCGCAGCCTCTGCAGCGCCAGTTCGATCCCGGGCCACTGGCGAGGGTCCCACAAAAATAAATAAATAAATAAATAAATAAATAAAAATTAATTAATTAAAAACTCTTAAAAAAAAAACAACTGGGTGAGTTGGGGGGGAGGTAATACACTGTGTGGGGTCCCCCCTCTCTGGGTCCAGCTTGGGGAGGGTCCACAGGACAGGTTCCCCTCCCCCCATGCCTGCAAACTCCTGTCAACAATCCAGTTGGTCTCAAAGTCATCATCATCCTCTCCAAAGGGGCTGATGAGCTGCTCTGCCACCTGGGGACAGGTGAGGCCCTGGAAATCCTCAGGACACCCTTGCAGCTTGCTTCCCACCCCTCAACCTGGACATCTGCCATGTCCACCTCCTCCCGATGCCCTTCCTGCCTGAGCCACAGTGCCAGGCACATGGGCAGCCACACACATCTGCCTTCCCTTCTGGATGCCCAGGCCGACCCCTCCGACTCTCCAGAGCCAGCCTCTCCCCCAGTTGCCCAGAGCTGTTCTTGGGGTGTCACTCAGCCAAATCCTTCCTTTACCTCACCGTGCTCCCCTGGAACCGTGTAATTCTATGCACACATTCATCTTTTTACTCATTCACGTCTTCAAACATTCACTTATGCATTATTTCCCCAAGCAACCGAGATAGATGCTGAGGCTATGCTGAGTGCAAGGGTGGACCAAGTGGAGAGACTCCTGGACACTGTCCTCTGAGCTCCCCTGACAAAGTCTGCAGTGATGACGAGCTTTTTTAAGGGCTCAGGAGACATTATGCAAGTCACTGGGGCACCACTGCACAATTGCAAAGCAAAAAGATGGGGGTGACGGGGTCTGGTTTGATCTGGGATGGGAGGTGACTCTGTGTGTGTGTGTGTGTGTGTGTCTGTGTGTGTAATATGGACAGGATTCAGGCCCAAGTTCCTGCTGGGCCCACAGAAACCTCTGAGCTCAACAATTAGTTCCTGAGTACCTACTATGTGCTGTTTGGTTGAGCACATGAGAGGGGTCTATCTTGGTAACCAAGACCAAGTTAGACAAGGCCCACAGAAGGTCTTATGGGCTGGAAATCGGAAACGGCGGAGGGGGGCGGGTTTGGAGAGGGGGTTAAACCCTTGTTCCTCACTAGGTCCCAAGGCTCCACCCATGTTGCCCCCACTCCCACACGACCTCGTTCCACTCCCCCCCTCCTCACCCCTCCAGGGTTCTTAGCCGCCCTCAACTCCTGGCCTCCAGAGTCGGCTCCTATCTTCCCCCCGCCCCCATTTCTGGCACCAGACTCTGCTCCATTCAAGTGGGCCCCCAGGTCTTCATCCAAATCCCACCCAAACCTCAGCACTGGGCTTCTGGCTCCACCCCCTCGGCGCCGGCCCCGCCCACCTGCCTTCACCTGGGCTGGGTGCCTGGGTGCCTGGGAGCGCATGAGGGGCCGCTGCAGCCGGCCCCACCGGTCCTTGCCTTCCACGATGGTCGACATCAGGTTCACGAGGTGATCGGGCCACAGCATGTTCTTGTACTGGCTCCACCAACGGGTCACGTAGAAACCTGGGCGAGAGGACGCAGGGTGCTGCGGGCCAGGGCCCAGGTGGAGGCCACAGCCCTGGACTGCGACGTCCAGTCTCTCCACCTGGCTGCCGGGCTGGGGGTGGGGGTTGCTGTCTAGCCCAGAAGTCCACCGGACCCTTGGGCACGAGGCGCCAGGGCTGTAACGTGATGCCTTGACCACGAGGGTCTTGAGGGCCAAGAGCGGGATGTCCTCCCTGGCGTCTAACTGAAGTCTTTCTGGCTGCAGTCTCCCCAGTTCCCTCGACTACCAAGAAGCATGTGCCTTGCCCCCCTCACTCCTGGTGGTTCGCCCGCCTGGAGCCTGGAGCAGCTGCCCAGACCCCAGCAGGAAGGGGCAGCTCATCCAGAATGAAGGAGATGGGGATGAGCAGGATGTAGCCGTCGCAGTACAGACTTAGCTTCTCAAACATCGCCTGCTGGTCCTCCTTTACCTCAGAGGATGTTTCTGTGGAGGGCGGTTGGGGGTGTGTAGATGGGGGACAGGGCTCACACTGGCCTGGGCTCAGCCAGGGCGGGGCAGGAGTGCGGTGCCTCTGTGCCACCCCACATCTTCCCTGTCTATCTCACGGCCCTGCTTGCACCCCTGCTTGGTGCTGAGCCAGGCCCCACCCTCTGGCAACTCAGAACCCCAACGGGACCTCTTTCCCTGGCTGGAGGAGGCCCCCTCAGGGGTTTTCTTGAGGTGAAGCAAGGTTCCCCCTAGAGGAGTCAGTTTGAGGCTCCAGTGGCCCTTTTCAAGGATCTGAAGGACAGTTGTTTCAAAGCAGATTAAACAAGGGGTGTTTGGGCTTACACCCTAGTTGTTGTATGCATAAACAAATACAAATAAATCTTTAAAAATAAGTAAACAAGAAGCCATTGTAGAGAGGGGTGACATGGCAGCACACAGAAGGTTTTGGGGGGCACTGAAAGTTCTAGACAAACTGTAATGGCAGGCGCATGTCATTACCCATTTGTCCAAACCCATATAAAGCATAATGTCAAGAGTGAACCCCAATGTCAGCTAACCCTAATGTCACTTAGGGTGATAAAGGTATGTCACGTGGGTTCCACCATTATGACCCCTCTGCTGCGGGATGATGATGGGGGGCGTGTGTATGAGTGTGGGTGGCGGACAGGAGAACTCTCTCTTCCTTCTGCTCAATTTTGCTCTGAACCTAAAACTGCTCTAAAACCTAATTTTCTTTAGAAAGTATACTGGTGCCCCAGAAAATCCATTGTGCCTTGGCATGAGTGTTATGGCGAACTCCAGAACTGTAGGTGTTTGCTATTTCTCAATCCATTGTAGTCAGCAATGCTTCTTCCACTTAAAATGCTCTATGATTACATCTGTCTTACAGTTTATGTTTAGATAAACATTCTCTATGGGGTGCAGTGGGGGAGTACAGTGTGGGCCGGGGAACATGTGTGGGATTCAGGAAAACAGGCTGGCTGAGTGGGATCAAGGAAGGTTGGGTTCCAGATCCCCTCCCGGGTTGGAGGAAGGAGTGGTGTCTGAGAACCCCCCCATGACTGTCCTCCCATTCCGCCTCCTTTTCCCTTCTCCCCCACCCCCTGGGCATGGCCACAAGCTAAGCTCAGCCTTACAGGTCTCTGGGACACTGACCCTCTAGATGCTGGGAGGCACCCAAGAGCTCCATGCCCCTCCCAGACTCCAGCCCCATCCATCCGCCTATACCTGTAAATGAAAAGGCTGGTGTAGTAACCGGTCAGGAAGATGAGGATCTCTCCATAGAGCAGCTTGTAGATGCTGCCTCGCCAGCACAGCAGCAGGCGGGAGGAGGAGCCCAAGCGGGCATTAGCCACTGTGGTGGAGTAGGTGACGGTCACGGCCAGGCGCTGGGCTGCAGCAGGCGGGCTTGGGGCCTGGTGGACAGACAGGCAGAAAGAAAGACTGATAGGGGTCCGGAGAGAGCAGGGTCCCAGCCTATCTGGGGCTCAGGGGTGACCTTAGCCAGGACACTTTCCACTCTGGGCCTCAGCACTCCCGTCTGGAACCCCGCTGCCTGTGGGAGGTAGGTGGCAGGGACGCGAGGACAGAGACTGCTCACTCAAGCAGGTCGTGCCCTCACATCTTTTCATTTTATTTGACAATTTTTTTTTCTCCCCCCACCTACCCCCTTGACCCTTACTCTGGTCCTCCTCCCTCTTAACCTCAGAACCTCACTTGAGTTATCCCTTCCCCAGTTCATAACTAATTTGCTTTATCAATTCAGTTGATTCCTTACGTTACTCATGCATGAGAAAATGCCCACGACTTGACTTGATCTTTGTCATTTGCTTTGCTGCTCATCATTCCCTCAAGCTCCTTCCATTTTGCATTAGGTGGCAACAGCTCCTTATGGTGGAACAGCATCCATGGTGGACAGACACCTCTTCTCCATCCAAATCTCTGTTGGTGGGCTCTTAGGTTGTTTCCAAATCCTGCCTATTGTAAATAAAGCCAATAAACACTGTGGAACATGTACTTTTTTGAGTTGATGGCTTCAAATTCATTGGGTAGATGCCCAACAGCGGGATGGCTGGATCATGTGGTATATCCATTTTTAGTTTTTGAAGGTAGGTCCAGACTGCTATGCCCTCCAATTTTAGGACACTGTGCTTGGTCTTCTGGGCTGAGCCCATCTGATTCATAAGCTCCCGAGCTTCTTCAACTACCCTGGAGCAAGAACTGGAAAGGAAGGGCCCTGGTCAGCCTGGTCCACCCTCCTAGCGGCAGGGCCCAGACCAGACCCCTCAGCAGAGATAACCAAATAAGGGTGGCCCAGAGTCTTCCCACCTGCAGATCACCCTGCCCGGAGGGTGTTCTTCCTCATCTAACTGTGGGCTCATGCCTACTTCAGGTTACCCTCAGAAGGGGTGTCCCCAACCATGCTACCAGGATGAGTGCCACTCATCCTGGCCTACTGTCCCCTCACCTAGCTTGTATCATGTTCTACTTGAACTTACATTTTGCTGGGTGTCTGCTTGCTTACTGCCTAGTCCTTCCGAGGATGGACACTTGTGTTCCTCCACCCCCCCACACACACACACACGCACTTAGGGGTCCACACTGCCCACATGTGAGCTGAGCGGTCACTTGATTCTCCTGCACCACGGTCCACAAAGGAGCGCTGGTGTTGGTCCCTCCTCCTAATCTGCTCTTAAGCAGCAGCCAGCACAGTCCAGCCAGGGCCCCTCTAATTCCTTCCTCTGGGGCTGAGCCAGGGCTGGGATTTGGGGCAACTCCCTGCCCCCATAGGTCCTGCCAATCTGCCATTTTTCTAGGCTCTAGAATCCGGGGCTGGAGGGACCTGTGCAGCCCGCCCGAGCTCCTGCAGGAGCGCTGTGGGAGCGGCCCACCTGCTCCTGGAGTCTCGGGCCTGGCCGGGCGGGGCTTTGGCCGCGGAAAGAACAGCGGCCACAGCCCAGGTCCTGGCTCCTAGGACTCTGCGCCCTGAGTGTCCCGGGAGACGGCTCCGCTCCTCCTGGGCTTCCCGTCCCTTATCTGAGGAGGGCGGCGTTGACTTTGCGCAGCCGGCGCCAGAACGCCACAGCCCCGCTTTCCTCGCGAGCCGCGGAGCAGACCTGATGAGCTCTGATTGGCTGCCGCTGAGCGCATAGGTTATGTGGGCTGTGATTGGCTGGCAGGACCCCGTCAGTAGTTGCTACCGCGCCTTGGGGGCGGGGCCTCGGGCGGCATGACTCAGCATCCCTGGCTGCCGCCTCTGGCTCGCTGCCCCAGGTGCGAAAAGCGGGTGTGGCCGGTCCCCAAGGGCAGATGGCCGGTGTCTCAGCGCAGGGGATGCATCCTGGCCCACCAGTCTACGCGAGGGCTGATCGTGGTGGTGGGTGTCCGCACCTGCTGTCTCCCGGTGGCTCTCGGCCTGCAGTGGCCACGCGGATGGCCCTGGGTGTTGTGCCCAGCGTCGACCAGTGCAGCCCCCAAGGACACACAGACAGCCGCTGCAAGAACATGAAGGAGTTTATTACGGGCTCGAGTCCGGGCCCACGACATGCACCGATGTAACGGTGGTGGTCGGGAGCCCTGAACAAAGGGAACAGGGATCTTATATAGGGTTACAACCAGATCTCTAAAAATTAAATCATGTTGGCAAACATTCATTGGTTACACAGGTGCATTTCCTAACAGCGGTGGGTGCACAGTTTCAGTTTTTGAGCTGATTGGTCACATCAAGATGCAGCTCTATTTTATGGCTAGTTTGACCCTATTAGTGGCCTGAATTGCTGGGCTCCACTGTGGCTAGCCGACTGAGATAAGGCCAGAGTGGGGTGGGGGTCGAACTCTGGAATGCAGTCTTTTCCCGGGACAGCAAGACCTGAAATTCTAAAACAGCAGTTACACAAAAAATGACAAAGCAATGGCTAAGAATACTTATGCTTGGTTCCACACCGGGCACTTGCTGGCAAATGCAGGCCACTGTCCCGCAGCCACATTGGGATTGTGGGCGATGTGTGCTCAACATCTTGGCTTTATAATGCTCCGCTGGGAAGTGTTCTTTCACCGTGACCTTGGGTCCTTCTCCAAGCACAGTGAACAATTGCGTCTCTTGCTCTAACGAGGGAGTCTCCTGGGTGTTCAGGGACACCTTGAAGGGTGAAGGGCGATTTGCTGCATCCCTGCCACCCTGCTGTGGCAAACAGCCTTCTCGTGGCTGTTCGCCACTGTTTCCTCATCTGTGAATTGGGATCATAAAATGCCACCTCAGGGTGAGAATGATGGCTGGGTAATGTTTCTGGGTAATGATGGTTGGGTAATGGGAACCAGCTGCCCACAGGCCTGCCCCATCACTTTTCCTGGGGATTGTCTACAAATCTCCGTGCCCTCCCTCCAGATGCAGTTGTTCTAGATGGAGCCCAGGCCCTGGTATATTTTCAAGTTCCCCAGGCGTGTCCAGTGTACAGTCTAGGGTTAAGAATCAATGCTGTGTATTTTCCTCTCTTGAGTTCCCTCTTCTCCACCAATACATAACACTCAAGAGAGCTTTCTGTTTAGCAGATGATTAATAAACATTTTAAAATTAAAATTTAAATATGGGGCCTCCCTGGTGGCACAGGGTTTAAAGTCTCAGAGCTGTGAAGCCATGGCCAGCCACTGCAGCACAGTTCGACCCCCGATCAGGGAGCTGACCCATGGCGCAGCAGACCTCTCCTGTCTCGCCCGCTGCTCCCCTCAGCAGTGTATTTCAGTAGATGCGCCTATTCTTCTCACGCTGTCTCTGGTGAATCCTCTCACCGCCCACCCCCACCCCCTCCCCTGCACCTCTGGCCTGCACCCCAGCTTTTGTATGCATAAATAAATAAAATACATCTTTAAAAAATTTTTAAATATGTGCCTGGCACCATGGCAGGGGGGCTGGGGGCAGGGGTGGTGGGAAGCTCACTCTTTTCCTTGAAAGAAAATAGGAGGGCCTCCCCTGGTGGCGCAGCGGTTGAGCGCTGCGCTGTGAAGCTGACCACAGCCTCTGCAGCGCAGGTTCAATTCTGGCCGGCTGGGGAGGGTCCCACATGGCGCACAGACCTCTCCTGCTGCCCGCTGCTCCCCTCAGCAGTGTGTTTCGTCGGTCTGCCTGTTCTGTTCCTCGTTCTATCTCTGGTGGATCCTCTCACCCTCCCGCACATCTGGCCTGTACATTGGTTCTTGTATAAATAAATAAGTAAATCTTTTTAAAAAAGAAACAAAGAAAGAAAATAGGAAACACCTGCCTTTGTGAGTCAGGTTACTACTTCCTGTGGTGGCCACTAGAGGGCGACCTTAACCAGCTGCCTCTGGCAGGGAGTGGGATTGGGGGAACTTGGTCTGTGCTAGTCAGAGGTGGGGGACTGTGGAGCTAACCCTGGAAGACACCTTCATCTCCTAGACCCTGACCAGCAGCTATAGAGGCAAGACAGGGAGCTGGCAGAAACTGGAGTCCTCCTTCCTTGGCCTGGCCCCCCCAGAACTATAGATTCCTTGGCAATATCCCAAAGTCCTATCAAGACCAGCTGTGGGTGATGCCCCACCCCTTCCTCCCATCCTAGATGCCCCAGGATGTCCCCTGAGACACCTGTGGTGAAGCCGCTGTGCTAAGACAGACACCCCAGGCACAGGCCCCAACGGTTATGACAATGTCCCCAGCCCCAGCCCCAGCCAGGCTTGGTTCCCGCAAATGGAAAGACCCCAACAAGCCCCACTGATCCAAGGGCCCCTGGACTGACCCCCCCCCACCAAAGATGGCACCAACCCAGTCAGAGTTGGCCTTTTCTGTTTTCCATTCCACCAGGCAGTCATTCAACAAACCATTTCTGATGCCAGATACAAGACTCTTCTGATTCCCGCCTCTAAGAATTCAGACTCAAATAAAAACCAGGAAACACTTAAACAACCAACATGAATGGCAAGGCCTAATATCCATGCCAAGTGCACAGAGGCTGGGGAAACTTTTACAGGGAAGGGAGCACTTGAGTTGGGTCCTGAAGCATTAGTAGGAGTTCGTCAGAGCCCACAGGCTAGAAGAGCATTCTGTATCAGGGCATCAGTACGTGAAAAGTCACAGAGACGTGGTTCAGTATGGCATTATTTCTGCATTTTACAGAGGATGGCAAAGCTCAAGGCCTGCCTTGCCCAAGGTCACAGTTATAAGAGGTCAGATCAAAAGCAGAACCTGGGTCTTCTGGCCTTAAATCCTTTGCCCTTTCTACTACCCACCATCACCTCTCCATGGAGGTCAGCTTCAGATGGGTAGAGGCTTACCAGTTAGGGTAGTGGTCTCTGTCGGGGTTGGAGGGAGGTCCAGGTATTGGGGGGCACATAGATAAGAATGTGACTGCAACAGAGCCTGTGCTCTCAAGCCCCCCAGCAGAAAGCCATCTCTGAGGGCGGACAGAGCAGAGCTGGGCAGACGGGTGAAGGTTCCAGAGGCAGAATTTTGTGGCCTCTTCATCTCGCATCGCCACAGCAACAGCAGCATCACAGAGGGCCTGTCTCAGCCGGGCAGGAGGGCTTGGCCAGCGACAGCGGGCAGGGGCCCTGGGGTGGGCCAGCCAGGCCTGGATGCTGCTTCCAGGCTCTACATAGGGCACCTGCCAGCCCATACCCCTCTCCTGGGCCAGTCACAGAAGAAACAGGGCAGCAGTCAATAAAGAAAAGGAGGGGACTTGGCCCAGCTGGACCAGGAAGGGAGGGGAACCTTGAGCCTGGAGCCTGAACACAAGACACACCCCAACACCCCCACCCTGGAGGGCAGTACAGACGCAACACGCAAAGAGATGAACACATACCTTCTGGCTCCTGCAGAAGGATAAGACTGGGAAGACCAGGAGAGGCAGAGGAGGCTGGGATGCCCAGGGCTCCAGCTTCACCCAGCCCAGTCCTGCCAGTGACAACAGAATAGCATGCACCGGGCCAGAACCAGCCCAGCTGGAGACAGAGGCAAGAGGATTCACGACCATCTGGGGTAGAGCACGGGGCTCCCCACGCTCCCTGTCCCCATGGACGCTGCCCATCTGAGGCCAGGCAGGTGAGGCACAAATGCCCCCCACCCCCGCCCCACCCCAGCAGCTCAGAACTGGGGCTGATGGGCAGGTGAGGGCAGGTGAGGAGGACGAGCACTGCGGCCAGACTCCTCCTTGGCACCAGGCGTGACGCTGCCTGGCGCTGACGCCTTCACCACACGTCAGAGCCTCGGTCCCTCATCTGTCAGGCGGGCGTGGTATCAGGCAGGCATCCCGGGTGTGCCCGCGTCAGCACACGGCATGCGCGAAACACAGGCGTGCTCAGTGCTGTGTTGGGCTCTGTAAGAGGGACAGAAAGGAGAAAGTGGTTTCCCCGGTGCCTTGAGCTCTCCCGGGGTACACTGCGGGCAGTGCTCCGAGCGCTTTTTTTTTTTTAAAAGATTTATTTATTTATGCATACAAGAGCCGGGGTACAGGCCTGACATACGGGGGTGGGGAGAGGATTCACCAGAGACAGAGTGGGAGCAGAACAGGTAGACTGACTGAAATACACTGCTGAGGGGAGCAGCGGGCAAGACAGGAGAGGTCTGCTGCGCCATGTGGGTTGCTCCCTGGCCGGCTGGGGATCGAACTCATGCTGCAGCGGCTGCGTGCGAATTGCTTCATAGTGCGGTGCTTAACCCCTTGCGCCACCAGGGAGGCCCTCTGAGCACTTTTTAGAAAGTCTCACCAGCAGAAGATCTGGGGAACAGGAAGTACCCCCTGTTACAGGTGGGGCCAAGGCCCAGCACGAAGGTAAGTAACTTGCTCAGGGCTTTGCTTGAACCCAAGGTGGGCTGCTCCGGGGCCCTGGCAGCAAGCACGTGCAGGTGGCCTCCTGGCGCCTACTTAATGAGCAAGGGGCTGCGGTAAGGATGCTGAGGAGCAAAGCGGGTGCTTTGGCGGGGATCCAGTAGCGGGTGGGCAGAGGACCAGGGAGGCTGCTCCGAGAGGCTGTGCATCAGTTTCCAGGGCAGCCTGCCTGCTGCAGGAAGTGGCGGGGGTGGAACACACCCAAGGGCCAGAGAGGACGGCTCAAGGCAGCCCAGGTGACCCGTAGCTCTCTTGGCTCTGTTACGTCATGTGGATCACCAAGCGAGGTGCCTTAGCTCCAGGTGCGTGGGCAGCCACAGCTCCAGCCCTGCTCCACCCTGGCCTGGCCGCCTGAGGCAGCAAATACAAACACGGGACAGTCAGTTCATTGTGAATCACAGATGGAGCGGGAGTGATCCCCTCTACCAGGTTCCTGGGGAAGGGCAGCCCGTGCTTCTGTATGAGCACCTGGGCTTCGGGAATGGCTCCGTTGGTCCGTCCTCCTGCTACCATCTGGGGGCAGTGTCATCGTCATCTGGAAGCTTCTCAGGCACAACCTAGACCCACTCGGTGACAATCCACTGTTTAACCAAGTCCCCGGAAGATCTGAGTGTACAGGAAATTTGGGAGGCTTGCTTCTGACGACCGTTGTGCTGTGTGTTATTGGCATTTTTTTTTTTAAGATTTATTTGTTTGTGCGTAGAAGAACTGAGGTGTAGGCCAGAGGTGGGGTGAAGGGTGAGAGGATTCACCAGAGACAAAGTGGGGAGCAGAGCAGGTGGATCTACTGAAATACACTGCTGAGGAGAGCAGCAGGGAGACAGGAGAGGTCTACTGCACCCTGTGGGTCAGCTCCCTGGTTGGGATCAAACCCAGGCCACCGTGGTGATAGCACTGAGACTTAACCCCTAGGCCAGCAGGGAAGCTTCTGGTCTTGACATTCTTACTGAAAACCAGTGGACAGTAGATGTACAGGGTTTATTTCTGGACCCTCATTTCCATCCCTCAGCTATACCTGTCTGTCCTAAGGCAGTACACATGCTTGTAGAAGTTTCAAATTCTGGAAGTATAATTCTCCAACATTATTCTTCCTTTTTAAGATTCTTTTGGTTTTACAGGGGTCCTGGCAAATCCATGTGAGTTCCAGGATCAACTTGCCTGTTTCTGCAAAAAAGGCGGTTGGTATTTTGATGGCGATTGCATTGACCCTGCAGGTCCTGTCACTATCTTATAAGAGCAGTATCCCATTGGCAACATCATAGCAAAATCACAATATTACAGTATCAGTGGACAAAGAAGGGGACCTCCAGAAGTAATGTAGGCTTCCCACATCTTGATATGACCCAGTGATACTAAATTTGGATTTTTGGCTTCCAGGACAGTGAGAAATTTCTATTGCTAGAAGTCACCTAGTTTGTGATTTTTTTTTTTTACAGTTGCCATATAAAAACAGTACAGAGTTTGGAACTTAGAGTGAGGTGCTGTAACAGATACCTAAAAATGTGGGTATGGCTTTGAAATTGGGTAGTAGGTAGAGACTGTAAAATTTTTAAGACGCATGGATGAAAAAGTCTTGAATAGGCTTTTGATAAAAGAATGACTGTTCAAGGCCCTCAGTGAGGCCTCAGAGCAAAATGAGGAAAATGTTACTGGAAACTGAGGAAGAAGAGATCTCTTTTATATAGCAGGCAGAAAATCTAGCTGAATTGTATCCTACAGTGTGTAGAAAGCAGAAGTTGTAAGTGTAAGCAGAAGTGTAAATGGCAGATTTTTAGCTGTGGCAATTTCCAAGCAAAATGTTAGAGATGTGTCCCTGTTTCTTCTTGCTGATTATAATAAAATAGGAGAGGAAAAAAAGATATATTGAGAACTGTTACACAAACAGGAACCAGCCCTTGATGGTCTGAGAAATTTGCAGCCTACCCAGATAGCAAATAATGCTAATATTAGGTGATTTACTGTCAAAAAGCATACTCTAGAAAGAAGTCCATGACTGTGACTGGACAGCCCTTTGCTAGCATTGAGGACAGTGGGTGGGTGAGTCCTGGAACCATCTCAGCAGAAGCCAGGAGTAGAGATGGAATTATCCAGGAACTATCTGTGGAGGACTCTCTTATTTAGTGACGTGAATCTCTGTAACATACACAGGAAACACAAAGGCTTTCTAGAATGTTATACCAGCCAAACACTGCCAGCTTGAACTGACCGGGAGAGAGACAATTTGAAAGGAAGGAAAACAACAATGAACAGAGCTGAATGAATGTTGGAGGCTATTGAACTTCCAATATTCTGCAGGCAGGAAATTGGCTTATAAAACTACTCGGCTTGAAACACCTACTTACCTTTAAGAAGAATGACTCAAAGGGAAGAGCTTTGGGCCCAGAGGTCAAGTCTCCAACCTAGAAACCAGAGTCACAGTGTCAAAGACTGAAACAGTAAATGGGGTGAGGGTGGGGGTGTTATTCCCAGACCTTGAAAACTAATGGAATGTTCCCTGCTGGATTTTGAGTTGCTAGTGTTTAAATTGTAGTGATCCCTCTCTTTGCCATTTATAACTGTCTCACTATTGTATTTTGGGAGCAGATAGCTTGCTTCTAATTTAAAAGTTCTAGATATGGAGAGAAATTTCCCTCTCAGAATGGATCATATATCAAATTTGTCTTCCAACCTTCCTTCAGTTTTTCAATTCTGCTCTTTTTTTTTAAAGATTTATTTATTTATGCATACAAGAGCTGGGGTACAGGCCAGAGATGCAGGGGGTGAGAGGATCCACCAGAGACAGATGGGGAACAGAACAGGTAGACTGACTGAAATATACTGCTGAAGGGAGCAGCAGGCGAGACAGGAGAGTTCTGCTGCACTACGTGGGTAGCTCCCTGGCTGGCTGGGAATTGATCTCATGCTGCAGAGGCTGCAGATTGCTTCATAGTGCAGTGTTTAACCCCTTGTATCACCAAGGAGTCCCTGCTCATGTTTTCTTAAAAAAAAAAAAAGTATAGACAAATATATATCTGACCCTAAAAGACCAATAAATATGTATTATTTCCCAAGAGTCCTCTTTTGTTCTTTGAATATTTGCTTCTATAAAATCATGTTTATTTTATTAATGCAATGCCTTCTTTTCTCTCTCTCTGGGGATATTAATGACAGTTTTTTCCCCTTACTTCAAGTTGTTCTTCCCTCTGCTTGCTAAGTTTGATTGCCTTCTTATTAGGGGCTCTCCTTTGCTGTCTAATAGTGCTTGGTTTTCTGGTCATTACTAAGAATGGGAGCTTAAAAATTGATGAGACTTATGTGATCAAATTGTGTTATCAAAGCATATTGCCTTTGATTTCACAAAATGATGTCTCAATTCGGCATTTTTGGAGTAATGCTAGAACGGGAGTCTCTCTTTTGGGGCTGACCAGATGAAGTCTTATAACCTGCTGCCTGGAGCCTCACTAGCTATCTGGCAACCAAGTGAGAGGAGAGGGTTAGTCTTGTATGCAAGCACTTAAATCTCTTAGTCATCTACTCTCCCATTGATCCTCTTTCACTGTCCCCATGGAATACATTTCCAGTTTTATGCTAGACTGGGAAAGGGGCAGTTGCTTAGTGGTGTGAAGTAGGGGATGGGATATAAGGATCTAATCAATTCTTTGCTAGCTTTGATCTAGAACTCCTGTTTTCATCTTTACACTACCAAAGCTAGAGGTCGCTGTTGCTGCTGGCTCCTGATATTTTCCTTTTGTGATCTACTCTTTATAATTGAGAGAGATTTGCTGATAATTCATACCATGCTGACAGATTTGTCTAATTTCCCCCTGTAGCTCTACTGAATTTTTGCTTTAATTAGGTTCTCATATTAAGTATATATAAATTTTACATTGTTATAGCTTTCTAGTGAAGTTAACTTTTATTTTGCCATTTTATTGTTATAGCACAGTGACCCTAATAATACTTTTCTTAAGGTTTTTTTTTATTTTTTATTTTTCTAAAGATCTATCTATTTATACAAGCACTGGGGTATAGGCCAGAGGTGCGGGAGGGTGAGGGAATCCACCAGAGACAGAGCAGGGAGCAGAACAGGCAGAATGACCAAAATACACTGCTGAGGGGAGCAGTGGGCGAGACAGGAGAGGTCTGTCAAGCCATGTGGGAATCTCCCCGGCCGGTGGGAATCGAACCAGCACCACAGAGGCTGTGGATGGCCTCACAGCGTTGCACTCAACCAACTGTGCCACCGGGGAGGCCCCAAGTTTTTAAAGTTCAGTTATTAATATAGGTATGCCACCTTTCTTTTGTTCTGTGTATTCTTGGTTTAAAATTTCCAGTCTTGGGCCTCCCCGGTGGTGCAGTGGTTGAGCGCTGGTTTGCGAAGCTGCCCGCAGCTTCTGCAGTGCTGGTTCGATCCCAGTTAAATCCCCGGCTGCTCCCCGGCCACCAGAGGAGGGTCCCACATGGCGCGCAGACCTCTCCTGCCTCCCACTGCTCCCCTTAGCAGTGTACTTCGGTCCCTCTGCCTGCTCTGCTCCCCGCTCTGGCTCTGGTGAATTCTCTCACCCTCCTGCGCTTCTGACTGTACCCAGTGCTTGTATAAATAAAAATAAATAAATAAATAAATAAATCTTTAAAAAATAAATAAAAATAAAAAATAAAATTTCCAGTCTTAATTTTTCCATATCCTTAGGATTGGTTTGTCAGGTGTATACAGTTCAGTGGCGGTAAATACATTCACATTATTATGTGACCATCCTCATCATCCGTCTCATCATCCTTCTCTCCAGAACTCTTTTGATCTTCCCAAACTGAAACTCTGTACTATGCAAGTTTTGCCTCCCATCTATTCTTTGTTTTATAGTTTTTGAATTGTTCCCTTTTTATTAATTTTTCTTTTTTGCTCTTTTTCTTTTTACTTGTCATTTATTTTTCTTTCTCATCTTCTTTGCTCTTTTGCCTTCTTTTTCATGTTGTCCTTTTCTATTTGTGCCTCTGTGCTTCTTTCTGATGGATTCCTTAGATGTGTTTTCCAAGATGCTAATTCTCTCTTTAGCTGTGTCAAATCTATTTAACCCATTGTTAGGTTTCACTGGTCATTTAAAAACCTGCTTGGTTTTCCTTAATCTCTTATTGCGTATTTATTATAAGTTCATGCATAATCTTTCTATATTGTATACAGGAACTGAATACCTAGAGAACTAGCACATCAAATCTGTTGTGTATCATTCCTGCTGGTGCTCTCTCACAGGCACAAGCCTCCTCTGTGCTAGTGATCTTAAACTGTGAGCTCATTATTTGGTGTCAAGGGGAATCCTTCATACCTAAATTTCTCCCAAAGGGGATTTGCAGCTGCTTCTTCCTGAAACTGGAATGGGCGGAGGAAGGGCATCCACATGGAACTCTTCAGCCTCCTTGGGGATCTTGGCTCAATGTAGTTACCCAACATTCAGCTCTTCCATCTCTTCCTGGCCAAGCTCCAAGCTTCATTCTTACATTCTTTTGTGGGTCAGGAAACAGTTTTTATAGATCTTAGTAGACAACAGAGCCTCCAAGAATCATGAGATTCTGAGCTACGCTTTTTCTGTAGCAAGAAAGTGCTTCATTGCTCAAGTCTACCACATGCACAGGAAAAGAAATTCTCCAGTCCATTTCACACAAATCCATAGGTGCCATCCTTTTGGCATTTAAGTATGATCACATCACACCCCTTTCTTTGTCCCTAACTATAAAGTTTGCATTCCTGACCTGTCATTCCAGGCCCCATGTGATCTGGTCCCTGACTCTCTTGCCAGATTCATCTCTTCTGATAGTCACCCCCTACTCCCAAACCCCTCCCTCAGTACATTTTCCGGACCCCAAGTCTAGGTTAGCTATATACTTTCCCCTCCACAGTGTTGTAATTCAATGTCTGAATGCCCCTCCAACCCCCTCCGCTGAAGGGTGTACTTCATGAGTGCAGAAATGTTCTCTTATCCACCAATATCTCATTAGCATCTGCACTAGGCACAAGTGCTTATGAAATGTTTGTTGAACGAATGAATGAACACACTTCCTGGGCTTCCAGTGCTTTTCTTATTGATTTTTGTGAATTCTTTATCTATTAAACGGTTTGGACAATTCACCATTTCCTAGGACTATTTCCTCTAGGTTACTTGCCTTTTAATTTTGGTTATTTTTTGCTGCAGGGAGGAACATAGAGAAGTTTTAAATTTTAATGTAAACAGATCTATTGATTTCTTCTTTTGAGGTCTCTTCAGACACTTCTAAGTTTAGAAAGTCTTTCCCTTTCCGGATATTTGATAAGTGTTCACTTCTATTTTCTATGCATATGGCTGTCAATTTAATCTTCCCAAAGCAGGGCTTTGGCTACGTCACTCTCCTCAAAAATGTTTAACAGTCTCCTTGGAGCCTTTAGAATAAAGTCCAAACTCTCTAACTTGGCTTCCAAGGCCTTACATGATTCAGCCCAAGTCAGCCCAGCCTGCACTTCCTTTGCTGTCCCCCGAATTTAGCCTGAGCCCCAGCTCTGGTGAAAGATTTGCCTCTCTCTGCATATGCCTGCCTGGCTCCACCTCCAAGCCTTTGCTCCTGGGGTCCCTGAGGTCTGCATGAAATGCCCATCCTCCTTTTCTATTTAAGTCCTGCTTATTCTTCAAGTTCCACTTTCTCTAACAGACCTCACCTTACCCTTACCCCTGAGCATGGGGGAGGGTAAGAACCCGAGCTTGTGCAATCAGACCTGGATTTCAATCTCAATCCCTTCACTTGTTCTCTGTTGCCAAATCTTTAAGCTTTTCAAGTCTCAGTTCCCTTGTCTTTAAGGTGGGAACAGAATGCAGTGAAGGAGGGCATCTGGCGACTGCAAGGGCGAGATAAGTTTGATGGCAAATGTAGGGATTCTAACACGGTCCCATCCCACTTCTGCCATTTTGCAAGGGAATCACCAGTTGTCACACCCTCCCCCCACTGTCACTTTGGCCTCTGAAGGTTTGGCCGCTCTGGAATTCCCTTAGGTCTCTGACTTGCCCTGCTGGAGGAGGTGGGAGCAGGTAAACAGGTTTCACTTCAGGGAACCCAGCCCCAGCCCTCAGGCACCTTGCTAGGACTTCCAGAGCCACCTGGGCCCCAAGGAATCCCTGCTTTTTCTTCAATTGAGCTGCAATGGTTTCACTGCTAGGACACATTTTTCTCCAAAGGGGGGTACTAGCAACCCCTGCCCCTCGCTATCAGCAGCCTCCAAATGATGAAAAGTCAAGTAGAGCAAGGAGAACCCTCTCCATTTTAAGGTGGGTAACTGAGCTCAAACCGTCTTTCATCTACTTGGGTCTGGAACTTGTGCCTTCCCAGTCTTACTTACTGGGGGCTCTGGGAAGCCTGGGTAACTGTGGTGGGGGATCTGGGGGAGCTCGGGCACAGGGATCCTGGTGAGGGGCTCGGTGTCTGTATTCTTTTTGCAAACCTAGAGTTGAGTAGGTTATCTTGCCTGTGTTGTTTTGGGGTAAAGCTAGAGTGCTGACGACTCACTGGCTGGGGTGTATGGTCCCTGGGGCTGGGGTGAGGGTGGGGACAGCCTGGACAGTGACAAGAGCCAGCTTAAGATCAGGGCCTCACAGCCAATGCTGCGTCACCTGGGGGGAGCGCCTGGCCCTGGGGACCCCAGCGCCATATCTGTAAACTGGGCGTGGTGCTAGATGGGGACGTCTCTGTGGGGAGCTTCGTGTTCTCCAAGTGCTGTCCTGCCCCCTGCTCTCCCCAGCCCAGACCATCCCAGAGTCCTGACCTCAGGTTGCCCCACCAATTCCAACTCCATTCTGCGGCCTCTGTCGTGGTTCCTGCAGTCCAGGCCTGACTCAGGCGTCCCAACACACGGGCCTGGTCAGGCCTGGGCTGGGGCCTCCAGGCCCCGGTCTGACCTCGGACGCCTCTTCCCTGCTCCCTGGAGTCAGCATCCTCCCTTCCCGCCCTCGAAATCTGAGCTGGGGACCCGGGGAGGACTCTCGCTGTAAAACATTCCATCTAGTTGTCCAAACACTGCACAGCTGGGGGAGGGAGGGGCAACCAGTGGCTGACTTTCAGGGGGCCCTTGGGCTGTTGTTTTCCTGGAAATGGCTGAGTCCTCACTCACAGGCCAGCCCCAGCTGCCCTCGAGGGCTGCTCAGGGCAGAGGATAAAGGAAAAACCCCAAAACGCAAACTTCTGCTCTTCCTCGGAAGCCTCCTCCAGCCCAGAAGCCTTCAGATCTCTCTGGCCAGGTGTGAGCCGTGCTCTCGGCCTGCCAGCCAGGCTGGGCGGTGGGAGGGCAGCGGCCTGGTGAGCCACCTCTCCTCGTGACTGGGCTTGGCAGCAGGGAAGGGCGGGCGGGAATGATACAGATAGCAAGGAGCAAACGGGGGTTACTGGAAAGCCACCCCAGACCTGGCTGCCTCTTGGCCCCAACTCACAAAGACGTGGGGACATCTCCAAGCCTGTTTCCTCATCCACCACAGGAGGACGTTGGGCGTCTTCTGGCTCTGATTTCTCTAAGAAGGCCCAGCTTTGCTCCCCATGCAGTCCCCACGCAGTCTCAGCTGTGAGAAAATGGCCAGCAAGTCGCCATTTTTTCTTTACAGTCCCCAGACTCTGACTCAGCTTTCCTCCTGAGGGGCTGGCGGGGCCTGGTGGGAAGAGACCATCTCCCGCACGCTTCACCACCAGGCAGCTGAGCCCCTTTTCCTCTCGCCATGTTGGGGTGATGTGGAGAACCCCCCCTTTTCACACATCCTGTTTTTCATTAATTGTTTCCAGGTGGGCCCAGAGGTTGCCCTACAGAGGAAGGTTGGGGCACGGGAGAATTTAGCAGGGGGATCAGTCAGCAGCAAAACAGGAAGGGGGGTGGGAGCAGGCCAGGGAACTCCACTGCCAGGAAAGGAAGGCCAGCATCTGGTTTGCATCAGGCTGAGTGAGCCGGAGCCCCAAGTCTGAGTGGGAGTTATTGTTATCCGCAGGGCGGGTGGGGTGTGACTCCCTGAACTGGCAGCAGCTCCCCAGCGGGAACGCAGAGGCTGACAGGAAAGAGGAGGGAAGGCAAGGGAGAGAGGACCAGGAAACTCATTCCAGTCTCCACTGTGGCAGCGGCGTCATGATTCTTACCTTCCTTGGTGTTCTCGGAATGGCTCCTCCCATTTTACAGACCAGAGCAGTTAAACGGCTTGCGCAGGGGCACATAGCCAGGACATGACAGAAGCAGCGTACAATTCAGGCCTCATGAGACAGGGCAGAACATTCAAACTGTCCCGGTGGACTGAGGCTGACCAGGTGCCTGGCAGGCAGCACTGAGGATTGGTAATGAGGGTAGCCAGCCTCTGCCCCCGGGGCCGACAGTTCTGGCTGGGGCATTGACAGTTCCGTGGGACACTTGATATGACACAGGAGAACCACATGTCTGTGGGCTCCAGCCTGATCTCCGCAGAGGAAGAAAGCCTTCCACAGGGGAAGACTTCCTGGAGGAGGGGGTATGAGCAAAGAGAAATTCACCAGTGGGGGGTAAGATAGGGTAGAGACTGCAAAGAGGGGTCAGTGTGAAGAAAGGGGCGTGTCTGCCCTTGGGCATCTCGCCTGGTGCGCCTTAAAGGGTGAGATTCCATTTTATAGTTAGGGAAACTGAGGCACAGGCAGCCTAACATGCCCAAAGGTTCACAGTCTAGAAGTGGGGCTGAATCCAGCCTGAGTCCAGGTCTGTGTTCCTAACTGCTATGCTGAGTTGTTCTTTCTGCTGATGGCTGAACATTTGCAGTTAAATACTCTACCACTGAGCTCTACCCCTGACAGCTGAACATTCGAAGGATGGGGCCAGCCAGGCCCCTGACCCGAGGCCACATGGCCAGTTAATGATGGGGCCAGGGCTCCACCGGCTCTTTCCAACTTGGCAGCTGGGTGGGGAGAAGCCAGGCAGCCCCACTGTGGGCTTAGTTGAAGACTGTGGGCCTTGTGCATATAGAGGAAAGCTCCCAACAGCCTCGAGGTATCTCACCTTCCCTGGCCCAGAGCCCGGGAGGGAGGGCCCAAGTGTCTTCTGCTGCCTGCCAGGCCACAGGAGTTAATAATTATGGGGTTTGAGAAGATAGAGGACTGACTGGGAGGTTCCTCCCTCACAGGCCAGGCCGCTGCTCCTCAGAGATAGCAAAGGTTAGTGTGAGGCTCGCCTGGGGTGGAGAGAAGTCTCCTGTCACCTGCCTTCTGGCAGTCTCCAGAGGGACCCTCGTCTGACTCATCGGGCATGGACAGCCCTGAAGAGCGCACCGGGTGTCCTGCCCGAGGCACATGCCCAGTGTTCCTGGCCATGAGCTCAGGGACTGTCCGCTACACCCCTTCGTGTCTTGCTCCTGCCCTTGAGGGGAACTTGAGAGAGGAGCCCTGGGCCACAGACAGGTGAGCTAGTGACCAGGGACGTGGAGGGGAGTGGTGGGGGGGGCCCTACTGCTCTGCCTGCACCTTGGGGGAGGGGAAGAGAAGGCTGAGTCCAGACAGGGCACTGCCATGGAGCTCTGAGGAATTCCATAAGCCTCCCACAAGGTCAGCGCCAGGGGATGACTGCAACTGTCTTGTCCAGCTCGGTGCTTACACGGAGTCTGAGGCTCAGAGAGGGCAAGACACTCGTTGTTGGGTCACAGGTGAGCTGAGGACAGAGCGAAGTGCAAAATCAGAGCCTGGTTCAACTAGGCTGGCAGTCTCTGGAGCCTCATCTGCTTCTCCCTATGGGTCTGTGGCCCAGGCTGCTAGGCTGAGGTGGTGGTGGGGGGTGGGGAGGTTTGGGGAGAGCAGTGGCTGGAGGGGAGGGGCAGAGGACACACCTTTATTTCTTCCTTCCCACCTGTCAGTCAGGCATCTAGTACAAGCCCCTTGTTATCTGACTTTAGCTTCCAGCAAGTCCTCTGGTTTCTGAGCTGTCTTTTTGGAAAATTGGCATAAACCCACTACTCTTGGCTGTGTGACATCAGGCAGGTTCCTTAACTTCTCTGAGCCATCCGTTTGGCTAAGGAGCAGAGCTCACTGGTCTGCGGGAGAAGCCAGTGAGGGCTGGGAGTCCCAGGTAAAAGGACCTAGATGGTGGGATACTTGGGGTAAGTGAGGTGATGATGTGCCCAGGTAGCACCCCACTCATTCTTCTAGGCCTCATTCATCAACTTCCCCAGCCCACCAGCACTCCCCCCACCTCCAGCTGAGGACGCGTCCTCCCTTCCTCTGGGGCTGTAGCCCTGGGTTGACAGCCCTTATCTCCCACCAGTCTGGGTTACCAGGCTTGGTCCGTGTCTTATCTCCTGCACAGGCTTGTCAAGACTTGGAAGGCAAGGGCCCCGTCCTAGGCACTTTCTTGGTTCTTCTCTATTTTCCCCTAAATAGTGACGAAAACAAGGGCTAGGAAGACAGCAAACAGTTGCTCAAGACTTATTTGGTGAAGGTTTCAAGTCGACAAACATATAATGACATTTTACTTTGGGCCAGACCCTGGGTTAGGCCGGGCTGGGCTGGGCTGGGCTGGGCTGGGTGGAGAACAGACCGGGAGGAGGGCCTCCCCGGTGGCGCAGCAGGTTGAGCCACAGCACTGTGAAGCTGTCCACAGCCTCCGCAGCATGGGTTCGATTCCCAGCAGCCAGGGAGATTCCCACATGCCGCGGCAGACCTCTTCTGTTGCGCCTGCTGCTCCCCTCAGCAGTGCCTTCGGTCCGTCTGCCTCTTGTTCCCCACTTTGTCTCTGGTGAATCCTCTCACTCTCCCGCACCTCTGGCCTATACCCTAGCTATTGTATAAATAAAAAATAAATCTTAAAAAAAAAAAAAAAAAGACCAGGAGGAGCTGGTCACCTGGGAAGCCACAGTGGTGGAAGCAATCCCCTGGCAGAGGGAAGGGCCTGGGAGGCCTGGACCGAAACAATTCCAGAAAGTTGGAGGGATGTTGTAGAGGGTTGCCCAGGTTGTTCACTGCACAGGGAAGGGGCCGGTGAAGGGAGTGTTAAGGTATGAAATCTAGCCCGCCCTTCACCCACCAGCCGTGTCTGTACTTGGTGTGGACTGCGCCCGCCTAGAAGGAGCACTGTATCTCAAAGAGGACATTCGTGGAGCAAGGTGTGTCCTGGGGAATCCGCGGCCCTGGAAGTGGAGATCCTTGAAAGTACGTCCCCCACTTCCCTCTGTACTGGAGCAGGACAGAGGCTGTGTCTGTGCAGTTTCCCATTGGGTTACCCAGTCCTGATATGGCCCACAGTTTGTGTTCTGAAGGGGTGTTTGAACGAAAGAATGAATGAATGAATGTGTCTCCAAATGAAGATCTGACAAACTCAAACCCGGGATCCAGTCCCGGCTCTGTGGCCTGCAGAGCAGTGCCTGGGGTTCTGGTGGCATGTGGATGTGCTTCTCCCAGCACCCCAGTCCTCTAGATATGGAACGTGGGTGTCCTGGCAGAGAAGAGGGGCTCTGTCCTCGCTGGGCCAAGGCTGAACTTGAGACAATGGTCCGGGCTGAGAATAGGTGACAGAAGCACTAGCGGTCTATGGTTCCCTGTGGGGTGGGTAGTGGGGGTGCATTCCCGGGGGAGTAGATGGCGGGCAGAGGCAGGGCTGAGTAGGGTGTGTTCAGAGGCAGGGGGCTGCGCCTGTGGGGAGGAGGCTGCAGAGGACACTTGGGTCACAAGTAGACAGGTCTTCCTGGGCATAAGGGACCACCCGTTTGGGGGTGTACCCCTGCTCCCAGCAGGATGTTGTGCATGGCAGCCAGGGAAGGCGTAACGGCGAGGGTCAGGTGGGGTGAGGGTGCCTGCCGGCCTTGCCTGACCACCCGCGAAAGCATCAGGGTGCAGAAAGCCGGGGAGCCGTGGCAGTTCTTGAGCAGGGGTGGCCCGGCTTGGGGAGGCCGGGCGGGTGCGGGCTGCGTGGGGGAAGGGGGACCAGAGGAAGGCCGCGCCCGAGCGGCTCTGGCCACCGGATGGTGGGGACCCGGCTCCGCCCCCGACTCCGGCCGTCGCGCTGTCCCGGGGCGGGCGACCCGCGCCAGGCTGGGCCCGGCGGGCGCGCGCGAGCTCCCTGCGCCCCGCGGGCGGGGGGGGGCGGGGCGGGGCACGTGTCCTGGGGCCACCCCCTCGGGCACGTGACCCGCCGGCGGCCGGGGCCGGTCAGGTTGGGGGCCCGGCGCGAGCCGGGGCGCGCGGACGGCCCGGCCGAGGGCAGGACGGGCTCGCCGGGGGCGCCCGGACGGGGCGGAGTCGCGGCGGGCGGGCGGGGCCGCGGCACGGGGCGCGCAGGGAGATCGTGCGGGGAACCGACGCGCGGGCGCCCAGAGGCGCCGGGATGTGGAGCGGGTAGGTGCGCGCGCGCTCGCGGCCGGGCGTCCGTCGGCCGCCTCGGGGCGGGGCACGAGGGGTCCCCGCCGGACTTGCACATCGGGAGGTGCTGGCGGCCCAGCTGCCCGCGGCCGAGGGGCGCGCTCTGCGCGGGGGCCGGGCCGGCGCTCTGGAGCGGGGTGCGCGGCGCCGTGGCCCGCCGTCCCGCTGACAGCGCCGAATCGCCCGGCTCGCCGGGAGCGCGAGCGAGATGGGGGGGTGGGGGAAGCCGGAGGAAGAAGGGGTATGCAGCTAGAGGAGGACCCCCAGGTCGGACGAACCTTGGAAACCAGTGCTTTCGGGGTGGGGGCTGGTGTCCGTGGGAGAGCCTCCCCCTGGGGCTCCTGGAGCTGGCGGGTGTGGGATGGGACCTCCCGCAGCCTGGAGGAGAGCGCGGACTCCTCCCGGAGGAGTCGCCCCAGTACTCTGAGGCTCTCTGGCGGC